AGGCCCAGCTTCCGTATGCGCAGGTGGCCAAGATCCAGTTAGTTGATAAGGTCGCGGCGGCTGTCAGGAAACATTTGGCGTCTGTTCTCCTCGACTGTGCTTCCCACCGCTCTCCTCCCCCGCCGCGGCCAAAGGTTGAACGTCTAAAGCTCTCTAAGCCCGAGCGTGATGCTCTGAAGCTAAGTCGAGCCCTCAGTCGCACTGAGCACCAAATTCCGAATCCTCATAGGTCGTTTTGGCAATGCTCAGTGTGTGGTGGACGTACTGCTCGGAAGTTTGCGTTCGAGTTTCTCAACACCCAATGCCAAGTAGGGTCGTCGAGAGTCCTTGAGCCTACGGTGTTCTGTTGGCGAGAGATTCACCCTTCACACAAGCTCCAGAATGGAGTTCAAGGGACTGTGTTTTGTTCTTCTTGTGGCCTATATGGAAGGTTTCGGGTCCGCTCTGACGGACTTGGGAAGCCATGCAGGCCCATTTCGAGGAGAGGTCGGAAAAACTTGTCGGCTCTCCTCCTCGGTATGCTCCCTCAGCAACGGGCAAAGACTGCCCGTGCCGTTTGCGCCACCAAGAGGTCCTTCTAACCCTCTAGGGTGGCGGATGTGGGAGCTTGAGGGTCTCTCCGTTTGAGAGGCCCCTTTCTGCCGCCCATGGATTGGGTGGCTCCTTTCCGCGCACAGTCGCTCCCGCCTCTGCGCTTTCGCGCTTCTCCAGGGGAAAAAAATTGAGGGAACTGCCTTGATGGAAAACAGTCGCTGGGAGATCCTGAAGCATGCCAAAACATTGTTCTCGGGATTTCAAGCCACGCATCAACCTGACTGCGGCGTTCTGGCGAAACAGAATCGTGCCATAATACCATTTTGGGGATTTCGAAACCGCGAATCAACATAACTGTTGCACCGGCATAATCCTGAATCCTTCCCAAACACCGTTTTAAATACGCTGATCATGGGAATCCGTGAAGCCCTTGCAATTTGTTGCAATGAATGTGCGCGGCGCTAGGGCGAGAGCTACATTTTGAAAAGGAACCGCCCTCAATCCGTGAAGCCCTTGTAGATTTGTATAACGAATGTGCGCGGCGCTAAAGCGAGAACCACATATTAATAAAGAACCACCCTCAATCCGTGAAGCTCTTGCACACGTTTACAAAGAATGTGCACGGCGCTACGGCGAGGCGAGGGCCACATTTTGAAAAAAAACACCCGCCCTCAACTCTTAATTTTTTGTTGAACAGAGGTGCGCGGCGCTAAGGCGAGAGCCACATTCTGAAAACCACCCGCCCTTAATCCGTGAAGCTCTTGCAAATGTTTACAACGAATGTGCGCGGCGCTACGGCGAGAGCCACATTTTGAAGACCACCCGCCCTCCATCTGTGAAGCTGCTGTCAAATCTCAAAACTTCAGAATCATAAATGGTGAGGAAGTCTCTGGCGAAATGCCTGGCCCGCCCTAAAAACTGGCCTCGGGGTGTGACAGGGAGGGGTTATCTATTATAAGGACAAGGAGTGGAGGAGGAGGAGGAGGAGGAGGAGGAGGAGGACGAGGAGGAGGAGGAGACGGAGGCGGAGGCGGAGGCGGAGGCGGAGGAGGAGGAGGCGGAGGCGGAGGAGCTCTGCCCTCTGCGTGCCGCGGCGCGCACCAGCGGCGCCCGCCGCCCCGAGCCAGAACCACGCCGCTGAGGGCCCAGGCGCCCCCGCCGTCCGCGGGTGGCCCGGGGGCCGCGCGCCCCGGGGCGGGGAGAGCTCTCCGAGAGGCCCGCAGCGTGGAGAGCCAGGCGCGGTCCTGGGCCAGCGGTCCGGGGCAAGCCCGACTCGGGCCGTGTCGGCTGCCGCCGCGGGCGCCAGCGCGCGAACTGTTGTTGGCGGAGTCATACCGCGCGCCTCCACATCGAGCAGCCCGACCGTGGCGGGCCACCCTACGGACCGCTCATAGCATCGCTTGGCTCCCGCTTGGAAGCGAAGGTGGTCCAAAGCGAAGTAGGTTCGCGTGCCTCTTCTTATCCCCCCCCGCCCCATTCGTCGACCTCCCGTCGCGCAACGCCCAAGGCGCCGCCCTATTTAGCTCGGGCGCCCCCCGCCGCCCGCGCCGCTGCTGGCGGCCTCCCCTCGGCTCCGAGGCGCTGCCAGCGCGGGGGCTGGCGCCAACGAAAATTGGCCTGCTGGCGCCCGCGGCGGCAGCCGACACGGCCCGAGTCAGGCTTGCCCCGGACCGCTTGCCCAGGACCGCGCCTGGCTCTCCACGCGGTGGACCTCTCGGAGAGCTCTCCCCGCCCCGGGGCGCGCCAGAGCCTCTGGAGAGACCGCCAGGCAAGCACGTCCGCCCTTGCCACGAGCACCCCAGGCCATCCTCCTCCTCCCCCTCCTCCTCCTCCTCCTCCACCTCCTCCTCCGTCTCCTCCTCCTCCTCCTCCTCCTCCTCCTCCTCCTGCTGCTCCACCACCACCACCACCGCCGCCGCAGCCGCCGCCGCCTCCTCCTCCTCCTCCTCCTCCTCCTCCTCCTCCA